ACATTCCAAGGTATTTTACAATCACCATGTCACTGTCTGAGCCATACCATTATGCCACAGGGAGAGACAGGATGTATGTATCTCAAATTCTGCTGACAACACAATCCAGTGACTGTATCAGCAGTCTTAAAAATAAACATGTGCAATGGGTTGTTGAAAAGTATCCAAACATGTGCGCTTTTCATTCACACTGCCAGGGCTCTGTACTTTTAACTTACAATTTATGTCACAATATATTAAAACAAACCATTTCAAAAGCCCTTGATATTACATTAAAAGGTCCACCCCAGCTAAGATCGTGAGTGTCAATAAGACTTGACTGTTATCTTATACACTTACTTTGTTGGACACTATTTAATCCCTGTCAGATGTAGTCCGAAGAGTGGATTTTGTTTTGGGCCCCATCTGTGCGTCCGTCATTATTTCTTAGAGATGCCTGGACAGATTTTCTTCAAATCCGACCGATCGGCGGCCATTTTTGTCCCAAAAAGCACCAAAAATCAACTTTTGAACATGTTCTCAACTGCCTTGATCGATTTCATTCAAACTTGGCATTGGCATCAGTCATAGTGGATTACTGATGCACGATTCAAAATGGCAGACTTTTGGCCATTTTGTTTTTTACGAGTGTTCTGCTCATTTTACAGAGATGATTGTACAGATTTGGGTTAAATTTTGTACAAAGGCAAGATATAATGGGTTAAATGTTGTTTTTAGTTATTATTCATTTTCACTGAAATTTAGGCAAATGGTGGCCATTTTCGTTAAAAACGAATAAAATCACAAAATTCAAACAAGTCATCAGCTGTTTCTTGGACATGCCTTGACCAATTTCATTCAAACTTAGTCCTTTTACTTGTTTCGTGCACATTTGTAGTTAATATGCTAAATACTATTCCAATATTTAAACATAATCTGACTATGAATTTTATTGTTTGACAAAGTCAGTAAAAACATGACGGGGACTATGTCATTGACAATGACTTGTTCATCTTCCTATTTAACAATCCATATCTTTATATTTAAATCTGTTTCAAGACATTTCGAGAATATATTTCAGAAGTGTAACAATAGAACGACTGGATTTGGTGTCACAGTTTGCTGCCAATTCAAATTGAAATATATAAATTCCTTTTATTCACCAACATCATATTCAATGGCTAGTTCTCAGAATCTACAACAGTAATAAATAAGCAGAAATCATTTTGATGCCATGTTTTCAGAAGACACCGCCATATGACATTTTGATTGGGAGCATACCATTCCAGGACTATAGGGTGTCTAAACAATGACCCAATAACCAATCAACACATCTTACAACTATGAGGGGGGAATTCTTTTTCTCTGGGGTTATCCACACGTGCCAAGGGGAATCTCGTCTTGCCTCTCTGATCCTGTACCTCAAGGGGACGCGATAGAGAGACGAGACGAGACGGTCAAATAGACACACACAGCGAAATACGTTTCAACTTTCGTCTTAGTCGATCAGTCGAGCCCTGGGGAAAAATCCCCAAGACTATCGCAAGGCTGACCCAAGACTAGCCCAAGACTGGACTGCTTCAAGGCTCGCCCCAAGACTCTCTAGGACTGGACTGCGTCTGTCATGCTGTACTCGCCAAGACCAACTAAAACAACTTTATTCATTTTCAAAACTCTAGCCAATTACAATACAGTTAAAAGACTCTAGGGCGTAACATTCAATCATAAAGCCAATCACACTAAGTACTGAATACGTCATATCTTTTGATTAATCGTTCACTACATTAATAACTACGAATACCAACTGTCAGAAATAGTAGTCCGAATAGCGACGGTTCCGTCCAAAACTTCACATGGCCTAAACGATGCCAGACATAACACAGCCATTCAGCTTCGATTAACAGATACGCGAAAACAATTTCATCATACAACCACCACAAAAATTGTATTCGTAATTGAACAACCAAGAAAGCAACAAAAACCCGGGAACAAATATCAGGCTGCATCCAGAAAACAACGATTTATTCTGCAGATATAGGTAAAATATAGGTAAGGCTTGGCGAAATTGAAAGAGCAACTAATATTCTTCAACCTGGTATTTTTTATAGATTTTATTTTCATTCTGTTTGTCTGTTTTTTCCAGTTCAAAAAATGTGGGCTGGCTGGCGCCTTCATCCCTTGTCTATTTCATATACTAGATACCAGCCGATACCCACCTCCCCCTGCTCATAGGGAGTGCGTACAGTTGATTATAGTTCCTGGGCTCCCCATGCTCGAATCCCAATCATTCTTCCAAATGCAGCCTGCTTGTTTGTCACCTCGTGGATGCGAGAAAGCAAGTGAGCATTATCGTGATCTAAACGTACAGAGAGGTCACTTATAGAATGGAATATGCAATTACAACAGAATTTTATATGTTGCACATGTCGGGGTATTTCTTGTTATGTTGTTCAGGTGACTCTAAACAACTATCCTAGACTGGAGCAGTCTGGGCGATTTATTTCTTTTGGTAAATAAAAAAAATAGAAGTGTTAACGCGAAATTCCCTGTAACCGGGAAATCACTCAGACTGGACCTTTTTGCCGCGCCCTCTGTGTTGAAAGCAGGAACTGGTGTGTTTTAATGAGCAGAATGACAGGCATTGAGCACTGTAGCAAACGACGTTCAATAAGGTAACTTCAACTGGGTATTCAGCAGTCCGGAAACCATTCTATCCCACAGAAAACTGTTACTCTTCAAAGAATACAATGTTTACTTCATTATGCAGCGCGCACGCCCCACTCCTTTTCTGTTTCCGTTCAGTGATGTCACTGCATATCGTGAATAATAATAGCAACAGGTTACTAGTACCTGCAAATAAGACCAGTCTGTGCTGGTTTCGCGTTCACCCCACCTTTCGCAAAACTATTTTTTCCATTTTTTTTTTAACTGAAAAAAACTGAATCACCACAGCTGGGACAGTCTACAACTATCCCAATGTACAGTTTTGCCGGGTTTGTTTGCATCCTTGGCTGTCCCTGAAATGATGATAATGGAATGTACCAGGGTGTTGTGAAATTGTGGCTCCTCTCAGCCTAAGGATATGGATACATTGTTGCAATATTTTGTTTTTGCTTGATTAATTGATAAGCAATACTGCTCGATGTATAGTAATATTAGCAAAGCAGCAATGTAAATCGCAACATTGCTCAACAGATTATTCCCGCAATGGCAATTAAAGCGGATGGGTCCTCCCGAGATGTGAGTCATAAGTGATAATAAAAACGCACAACGCCACGCCAGGCCGATTTCCCATGGATACGCGTCACGCCAGCGACTTCGCGTGGGGGGGGGGGGCTTTCGGCTCAGTTGTTTCAATGTCAAGTTTCAACTTTCAACCAATAGCTAATTTTGTGATTACAGTATAACCCAATGATATTATTTGTTTATACTTCTGATTAATTAGCATAAAACGCACCGCCCCCATGCTTACATTGTATCTATTGGTGTCTCTGTTTCCAAATTTCATTTTCAGGTTGAACACTTTGCATTCAATATATCATAATTCACCGCCATCAGATAGTTATTTTTTCATAAGTCGATTGTTATGATCAACATCAAATAAATGAATGGCCACTAGATGCACCTTGGGCTGTAGGGATTTGGCATTGATTTCAAAAGTGTAAATGCTTGTTTTGTTTTAATAAATAAAACAGAAAATATTGGTGTTTTAGACAACCCTTGCACCTTTTTCAACTTTGAAATTTGACACTTTGCCCTAATTTCAAGTTCGTTCACGCATTCAAGTTTAACAAAAGAATAAACGAATGGCCGCCATATGCCAGGGATTGCAAACTGGTACTAAATTTAAAGTCGACCATGGGTAAAAACATAAACTTAACCTACGAGTCAACTGCACACCGAGTTTGGTTAACTGTGAATTGAACAACGAGTAATAATTTGCACATGGTTTCTAAAATATGGGCGTGGTCTTATTTGTACCTCAAAGTTTCTGTAATATGTTTGTATTTGTTGTCCTGTTACAAGTACGCAATATTATATTTCGAATTCTATAATTCGGATGTATAACGTTATTGTTTTTATCGGGGTAGTTAAGGTCATAGTGGCTTCATGGTTTTATATTTATGTTGCATTAAAGTATTAAATCAAGTGACACCTGCATTTGCTGCTTGGCCTTTTAAAACTATTTATTGTTATCTAAAATGAAAGGTTGTGGTAACATCTGCTTCAGTGAATACACTTTTTATTTGTCACGTGTTTCGTATGTTGAAAGTTTTATTCGGAATTTAATAGAAAAAACTAATAATAATGGGGACATTGCCAACTTGTTGTTCTTATTTGACATTACATAGAACCGTGTTGTTCAAAAATAGCCAAAGGATTACGAACATACTTCCTGTTAATGTGACGTGTTTTAATGGACCTTAAAGGTCGGCAGTCGTCGCGTCGCGTCCTGTTCGACTCATAGCGACGTTTACAACGCGTGTAAAATACATTGTTTCAAGTTATTTACATGAAATTCGAGCACGCGCTGCACGACGACCACCGCGCTTTAAGACAGTATGATCGAATGTAGCCACAGTATTGTTACTGCTATGGGTTTAGGTACTTTGTTCTGATTAACATACTAATGGATTTGGTGGATTGGAGGTAAGAGAATAAATACAATTGTATTGTATTTTCTCATCTATATACTACGTTATTCAACTATCCTCAAATTAATTTGCGTCATACTTCCTTATAAATAATAAATTACCGTATAATTTCGCTTTTTATGTGGATGCAATTGAATTGCAGATTATTATAGACGTAAAAATAGATCTTTTTTTATTTACCTCCAAGATAATACTTTGTTCTGATTGGATATTGGAATGCAGTTAACTCCATAAGCTTGTCTGCCATTAACCTTTGACCTCAAAGTAGGATTGGTTCTGTGCACTTTAACTAACAATTCAGAATCAAGAGCCAATCATATAATGTGTTGATTGTCGTATTGCAGTCATTTTTTCAATGGTACTAGAATGTATGTGTGTGTATTTTTGGGTATTCTTGCTATTTCTGTGGTTCATGCAGATTTAGGAACGTTGAGACCACATATATTGTTCATCTTAGCTGATGACCTTGGGTGGCATGATGTTGGGTACCACGATTCCGAAATACAAACACCAAACATTGACATGTTGGCCGCGGAAGGAGTTAAACTCGAGAACTACTACGTCACACCCTTGTGTACACCATCAAGAGCAGTTTTGATGACTGGCCGATATCTGGTAAGTCAAATTTCAGTGGTGCGTACCAGTCAAGTACAACTGCATGTACATTTCTAACAACTATTCATTCACAGCCACTGAAAAAAAATCATTGATTTTAGTGTTCCCATCTGCCGATTTTATCGAATTTTCCTATCCCAATCCTTTATTTCTTTTGGTTTCCAACATCCTTACACATTTGGATGCCCCTACACATGTTAAAACAGACCTTGAAGGGAAAACAAATTGATTGTGCCGATAAACAAGCTTGACAATCTTTGCTGTGACTTCATGGACGTTTTTCTAGGAGTTTATTTTTTTCAAAATATAACTTTAACAAAAAATAACGTATACTTATTGTCGTCGGATTAACACCAAATTTTCACAGCTTTAAGGTGAAAATGAGAGGAACTTGAATGTTTCCAGACAAACTATTTCATGGATTATTTACCAATGTGTTGTGGTTTGAGTTGGGCGCAATGCGACTAAAACATAAATTAAAATTCAGAACACTACTTTTTAAAACGCATTGCTTGAATAAAACTGACAAGACACATTCAATTTACCAGACAATTAAACAACTAGGAAAAGTAAGAAAAAAACTTCTTATCAATTATTTTTTTGTACAGACAAAGTATTTTTTTACCTTTGATTGAGTAACGCGTCGTAGAATACAGATACGAGCATGAAGAACACACTTTTGAAAAGCTTGAAGTCTGGCGATTCCAAAAATATATACTTTTTTGGATCTTTTTGTAGTCATTTAGTCACAATTAAAAGATGAAAACAAGTATGCAAATAATAGTCTCGCTACCTTAAGGTAAAGTGTTTAATTTTGCGTTGTTGTACTAATCTAATAGCTGCAGAGACACAATCATATGTGTTTTATTTATGTAACCGTCTTGATTCTTGAAGATGGAGGAGATATAAGTAGTTAATAATACTCAAAGAAATTATATATCAGCATGATTTATCCTGAAATGATAATAAACAAATAACCATTCATTGTTTTCACCAAGTGTCAGATCAGATGAATAGTTCAACTGTTATGTACTACAACACCAAATATGATATGCATCCAGTAGTCTTGTATCAAGAACACGCATGGATACATTATGTATGTACTCTTGCAATTTAAGGACACATTTTGAATAACACGACACACCGATTTCGTGATTGTATATACTCACTGTTGCATTGAATATTATATTCCCCTAAACGAGTGAAATCTGTAAGACCCCTTAACTAAACTTGATCGTATGTTATTCTCTCCAATATTGAAAAAAAATGTAGTTTACTGGTATGTTTGTTTAGTTGAATACGTGACAGTAATACGATATATGCACATCCTGTTATGACAGAATGTATAGTAACAAATGTTGGTGATATATCAATAGTGACATTTTAAGAGTGGTGTCAAAAATATCATGACCTTTTATATTTTTACCATTTCTGTTATAGACTACACTACATTACATTGCACTACACTAGACTGCACTACATTACATTGCACTACACTAGACTGCACTGCACTCCACTGCACTACACTACACTACACTGCACTTGCTTGCAGTCTGTTGCGATTCCGAAGAAATTTTTTTGAAAAATAAATATAAATTGCGTAAACGAGGGATGAACGCAAAAATCACGTGACCGCGAAATCCCAACAAACTTGCCATCAGTATAAGCGCCCTAGCATTTCCAGCCATTTTTTCCATGAGCAGAACAATCACATTGCTTTACTCTATCTAGATAAAACATATGTTAATATGAAATGAAATATGCATACAATCATATGAATACACCATACAATCACATGATTACACCATACAATCACATGAATACACCATACAATCACATAAATATACCACACAATCACACGGATACACCATACAATCATATGAATAAACCATACAACCACATGAATACACCATACAATCACATAAATACACCATACAATCAATAAGAAAAAGAATATGCAAACTAAGAATAAGTGACCATCCCTTAATGTTTGAGAAAGGCAGGCATATAAGGCCAAAGGGTAAAGTTGAACATAGGATCTGTACAAGATGCAACATACAGGTAGATTCAATTGAGGATGAATTCCATTATGTTATGAAATGCCCACAACATATTACAATTAGGAGCAAATTATATGACTCAATTAGAAATAAAACTGTTAATTTCCATTTGATGGATGAAGATTCAAAATTTAAATACATTATGGGCAACACTTCCACATTAATACAGCTTGGCATTTTTATAAAAGAAAGTATGGTAATGTGATACAGTAATTATCAATTCCCTGATTTTTCCAAGACCTTTTGTTAAATTGTTTTAGTATGTTTTAGTTTTATGTATTTAGGAATTGTTATCTAGTTATAAATTGGACTATGTTCTATTCAAAATGAATAATGTCAATAAATTTAAAGTTAAAGTTATAAATAAACCATACACTAACATAAATATACCATACAATCACACGGATACACCATATCATATGATGACTTATTTGCTTCCTTTAAGATACACTCTGGTATGCAGCATGGGGTGTTAGTGGCACAGAATCCAAGATGTCTACCGACCGATGAAATCCTATTGCCACAGATGTTAAAAGACAGTGGATATTCAACTCACATGGTTGGCAAATGGCATTTGGGATTTTGTAAATTTCAGTGCACACCGAACCACAGAGGATTCGACACGTTTTTTGGTGAGTATTT